GTAGGTGAAACCCAAGTTCTCTGGATGGCCAGTGGTTCTCCATTCCTGTTCCAGAGGATAAAGGAGGCTTCAGAGTATGGCTCTCAGTTTGTTTTTGTACCAGATATGTGTTTGTTGTTATTGTTATGTGTGGTCAAGTGGCTTCCAACTTATGGTGACTCTATGAATAAGCAATTTCCAAAAGGTCCTGTCCTACCCCGCTTTGATGAACTCAAGCCTGTGGAATCATTTGCTCTTCCTCTTTTCCAGCTGCCTTCCACCTTCCCCAGCATTATTATCTTTTCCAGAGAATCCCGTCTTCTCAGGATGTGCCCCAAATAGGATAGCCTTCAACATTTTTTGCCTCCAGAGATAATTCAGGCTTGAATTGATCTACGACCCACCTTTTGACTTTCTGGCCATCCAAGGTATCTGCAAAGCTCTCCTCCAGGACCCCACTTCAAACAAAATGTGTTGCCCCCCCTTCCTGTCAGCTTTCTTTACTGTTCAGCTTTCACCTGCATACTCTTGTAGAAATACAAGAGTGGGGATGATCTTATTCTTACAGGGTGATAGCAGGGTATGGAAGTAAAACAAAAGAGGCAGGTGGAAGAGCAGTCATCACAGCTACAGCTAGCATAGCGGACTAACTATTCTACTGCCCCATCTTTTTTCCCTTCATATTTCCTTCTGCTCTGCTTGCTTTGGTTCTACAGGGTCTGTGGAAGTAGACTACAACTATGGACTCAACTCAATAACCTGTCACCTCAGTGCACATGTGCCTAGGAGTGTTGAGCAACACACCTGAAGCATGCACATTAAGTGAAAAAAAATGTTGATGGCATTTACTGAAAAATGGTATTTTGGTGACGATTGACATTTCTGGCTTCTATCCAAAACAAACTGCCAACAACCACAAGATGTCTGTGGCAACCCTTGGTTTGGTTTCTTCTTTTGTTTTCTGGTAAGCTGACAACCCTAAACCATACTTGTTCTGCCAGTGCTTTATTAATTGAAAATAAAGAAGCACGCATTTCCAGCTGGTTGTATAGCTCAGTGAGTTACATATCTGGCTGTGGAGCCTGATGCTGAGAGTTTTTCCTGTGGCTGTTGTGGGTTTTTCGGACTCTTTGGCCATGTTCTGAAGGTTGTTCTTCCTAATGTTTCACCAGTCTCTGTGGCCGGCATCTTCAGAGGACAGCACTCTGTGCTCTGGTCCT